GATTTGCTTATGGCTTATTTATTACATATTTTCATAGTATATTGATGTGGCATATTTCTTTTGCAGCAGCTGTCTGCTCAGTCCTTCTATGGGAAGAGGAGGCCTGCTGTGCCACAGACTGTTGTTGTGCCAGCCCACTTAGACATCATTGAGTTTGATTTTGATTTTTTTTTTTTTTGGTAAGGGACAATGGTTCAGTAGACACCATTGATCATAATGGTCGTGGTCACCAGAAAGTAAAAGGCACCAGAGAGAGTGAGGTTGACAAGCAACCAGCAAAGACTCCTGATAGTTGCTGTGCCTAGTGCAATAAATGCAGGGATTAAACAAAGATATAAATAACTAATGAACTTTACTTGCTGGAAGGTGGATTGTTTTTTTTTTTTACATTTGGACAGAGCTAGATGTTTTCCCCTGTTTCCAGTCATTGTGCTAAGCTAAGTTAACCTGCTGTTGTCTGTATTTAGTGTACAGACAACAGAACTATATCAATCATCTCATTTAACTCTTGGAAAGAAAGAAAGTATATGCCAAAATATCAAACTACTCCTTTAATGAAGAGAAAGTAATGTATGTGATTACATGTAATGTGGCTAAAAATATATACCTTATTAATAATAATTGTTTTTTTCCCCCTGCACTTCCGTTGTGCCTTGACATATTTACTAAGGTGAAGAAGGTTGTATCACACATAATATGGTCATAAGTTTGAAAAACATCAATAATAGTCTTTGGGAAAATTCTATGGTACAGGTATTGTTACTGAGTGTGCATGTCACTGTCAACATTAATGTCTGTGTGCCCCCAGTGTAACTATATATAAAAAGAAAACCCTTTGGCTCTTTTAGTTTCTACCATTTTCTTTAACTGTTCTACTATGACAACAATAAACAATGAATGACTGAATGGTTACACCAGTGTTGTAAGTTATACATACCGTAATTACATCAATTACACTGTAATTAACTTGCAACCTGTTAAAATAAGCTATAAGAACTGAGCTGCACTTCTTGGTATTCATAAAAGCAAGCAAACTATTTCTTACATGAAGGGGTCATCAGCCATGCGGGGCCAGGCCACGTAGCAGAGGGTCCTGCGGGGTAGTGTTCGGATGGTGGAGAAGTAGCAGAGAGGGAAGGCCAGAATCACGGCCAGACTCCAGATACAGACGATGATCCCTGTGGTGGCTTTCGCAGACAGACGAGGCTTCAGGGGATGGATGATGGCCATGTACCTGCAGGTCAGTGGTCAGTAGGTTAATAAGACATAATTGTGTTTAAAGACTTGATAGCCTTATAGATTTTACAAGAGAGACCGATTCATGTACACTTTATGGGAGTTTTTCTCAATGGTTTAGACTCCTTAAAATTAAATAATATTTACGTGTACAGGTTATTATACGGCATTACACTGATTGTGACTTAAGAGCTGTTCAGATAGTCATTTCACCTTCTTGGATTGTTTAATTTAAAGGATTTTCAGTGGCCTGAATATGTAAGAAGAAATATAATTTTGAGAAAATTTGAAAAAGTCATCAAAATGTAAAAACATATTTATACTGTTATCACTTTAATAATTTGGTCACCCCTCAGATTTATCTTGAGAAGCGCAGCTCTATGTGGTTGGAATGTATCTGACTTCCAAACTCAGTGGATGATTCAGGCATTTTAATATTTATTTCTACATCATTCTACATTTAATTTTCTGCACGGCAGCCTGTAAAAGTCCAATGCTGTGGCTTTTGATTTTCAAGGAAACTGATGGATGATTCATTCCAACAAATTATGATGAGATTTTGTTTGAACTGCACAATGACACTCAGACCTGGCAGGAGATTACCAACTCAGGATGCTACATGATTTTCAGTTTCTGGTAACACAGGCTCAGAGCTGCTAATTCAATCTTCATAAGATGGTAAAGAACAAGTCCTTATGCTTTCACCTCAGTGACTGGAACTCTCTGAGGGACGGCAACAAAGATGCCCCATCTATTCACCAGTAATTACTTGGCATTTATTCTGAGTGTCTCACTGGGCACACTGGTGAATGGCAGTGTGTGAATAGCTTGTTAGATGTCCAATCAAGTATGCACCACGGCAGTCCAGAGTTATTTGGGATCCAACAAGCTCACGCAATGGTGGCTGACCTAATAGTCTTGTAACCACTGAACAATAATCACAATTCAATGCCAGAAACACTTGAACAAGATTAATAGGATTACACATCAAAGCAAATTCACAAAGGCATCAGCATCAACTGGACATGAGACATTACAGCAGCAAGTTAATAAATCATTCTGTGTTTTGTTTTTTGGTCAACCTGGGACTGCACAAAGCTTTTATACAACGTACTGTTTTGAAACCATGTCAGTGTGATGTGACAACATCAACTAAACACTCCCTTCATCACTGCCTGGTGTTTAACCAGCAGAGATTACCTTGGATGAGACTTAGCACAATAGCCAAACATTATGTGCACAGCTAAATGTCAAACGTTGACTCAAATTTCCTAAGAGAAGAGGGCTATGTTTAATGTTTCAGCCACGCTTATGCACAGCATCATACAGTAAAAAATACTTAACCGATTAGTTCACCCAAATCACACTGACAATAGTACTATTTGGTATCTAGCCAGGCAGATAGTTTTGGTTTTATTTGTTTTAATAGTTTGAACCTTGGATCACAATTCAGCACTATTTATTGCTATTTGCACAAAAACAACATTTCTTTAACCTTCACTGTGTTGGGGTTGAGGCAGAAATCTCAGAGATGGATATCTTACACTGCAAACCAACATGTCTAAGTTTATAGTGACTGACCATTAATGGAAAACAGTATTTGTTATTCTCCCTGCACATACCATTAAAGTTTAGATATATACACAGTATCACTACAGACTGTGTTCACACACATCCACAGCTTCTACACAAAGAATTAAAGGTGTCAGAAATGGAAGTCACCAGCCATGATAACATAAAAAGCTTTAAGGCTTCGCCAGTTACCTTTCACACAGCAACCTGTGTTTATTTAGCTGCAGAGCCTAAGGAAACACGCTTGGCAGCACAAAGAGTCAGCAGGAAGGACAAATTCACAGATGATCACGAACTGTGGCCTCATGCCATTTCAAGACATCAGAGCGGAGACAGCACCATACTGAGGTTACGAAAAGCATGACCGGAGGTTACATCTACATCATGTAGGTCATGCCGATGTTCTCTTTCTCAGCACACAGTTGACAGAATCGAACGGACACTGCAGACCAAAAATACAAATGCATGGAAGTTGCTGTAGAGGAGCCAAAATGAGCACGGCCTCAGGAAATGCACTGTTGCCTTTGTGCGTCAAGGAGAAGTTCTGGAGGAGGAAAACACCTCACACAATAACACAACACACTGTGACACTTGTACTCTGGCAGTAGACACACACTGTGCCTGCAGCTTCTACAGGGTTTTTGTTTTCATTATGTTCGGCCTGTAGCTGCTTCCTTCATCAGTGTAATCCCTTTATTCAAACATTATGACGTATGACGGTCCACTGATCAGTATCAAAGCCCGGCTGATAGTGATGACTGCATCCCCACATTACTGGAAACCACAGAAGCAGGAGCACACACACAGAGAGAGAGATGGAGGAACAAAGAAAGAGGTGTGAAAGAGCAAAAAAGATAAATAATATGAGTGCATGTGACAGAAAGCAAGAGAGTCAGAGAGCATAAAAGCATGGAGGAATGGGTGATCTTTTCTAGGGTGTTGGCTCATTCACTGCAGTGCAGACTCTTTGCAAAACAACAGCTTCAGTCAGAATCACTGGCAGTGAAATGTAAAAAAATAAATGTGTGGAATTGGCCCATGGTGTGAGAGATGGCAGTCGCCCTGCTGAGAAACCGCCTTTCTGATGTAATAATGCAAATCACAAACAAGTAATTACTCACTCATCCACTTGGAACTGAAATAAATAAGCTATACTCAAACCAGCAGGGAGCATAAACCCCAATGGAATTAAAATAATGTGGGTATGGAGCATACATTAGATGCCATGGATGGATGCGTGGATATTCCAATTAAACTGATGAGAACTCCATAGTTCTTATGCGCATGGGGGCACAAGCTAGTACATCAAATTGTTTTAATTGCACAAGCCTCTTCAAATGGAGTGCAGTTTGTCTTCATGCAAGAAAAAATACTGATTTGAGGTTTTTTTTTAAGCACAAGATTCAATTTTCCGCCACTGCTGGTGGAAGGAAGCATAGCCACGTGGAATAATCAGAAAGGAGATGTTCAAAAAATCATGCGTGAAGCACTTGAGATGAAAGCGTTTGTGTGACAAGGATTTTCTTTTTACATGCTGTAGGACTATAGCTTGAAATATCCATGCGCTGTGTATGTGCACGGATTATTTCATTGCTTCTTTGATGATTAAGGAGCACTGTCTGCATTAAATTGAATATTCTGCTTTTTTGCTTTTTCCTTTTTTCTTTAATACACAAATTAATACTGATTATTAATTTATTTCCAAACAAACAAATTTGATAGAATTTAAAGAATTTAAGAATACACATTATACATCTACCCACACATGGAATTGAACACCTGGGGAGAATTTAGCATCACCATTCGTTAAAACTTGTTCTTGCAACATTTCATAAGCCCACCTGTCCACAGCTATCGCAGTCATGGAGTAGATGCTTGCAAACACAGATGTGACCGGAAAGAAGTTGTGGAATTTGCAATACGCTTCCCCGAAGTACCACTCCCCGTGAGCAGCGTAGATAAAGTTTATCAAAGTATTAAACGCGGCCATTGAAGCGTCCGAAAATGCCAAGTTTAATAGAAAGTAGTTCGTCACCGTCCTCATACGCTTGTGAGCAAGAATGATCCATATCACAATGAGGTTTCCAAAGACCGCCACCGCCAGCACGAAGCTGTAGGCTACGGACCAGAGAGCGACGCGCCACGGCGGCTGCACAAACTGGTTGGTGTAGTTTGCCGTTATGTTGGATCCGTTATGTGGAGCCGCCATCCTCTTCTTTTTTCCCCGAATATAGTCACTGCTTTGGTGGTTTCACGAGTCCTATCTACCTACTGAGGTTCAAAGCTAGAATGGTGGGATAGGATTTGCATATGTGCACCATAGCGCGCAACTTAATCACATCACCATGCCTAAAAAAAACTCCTTCCCAGATCCGTAGAGTGTTGTCTCCAACCACTCCGCACTTTTCAGCGGAGAATAACAACGCAGTGAAACTGTACATATAAGAAGTATCCTCCAGTGCCTGTTGAATGTAGGTGTGAGCTCAAAGCCTCCCCTCCAGCAGCAGCAGCAACAGGCAGGGCGCCGTGCGCACTCAGTGACGCGCAACTGGCACAAACGGTGAAAGAGATTGATTGATACTTGTGGCTGCTGTTTTAAACTTCATGAATAAGGGATGGGCCACGCTCTCTCTGGCCGCGGTGTGTAATCAGTCAGCGCACATTGTGTTCCTTTATCTTCTGTGACCCTTCATGATGATCTGGTGTCAGCAGCAATTCAAAGGAGCCACAGGATATTGAAATGGTGCAGGCAGTGTGTGTGCAATTACACTTTTTTCAGCAGGTTGGCTGTGGTGTCACTTACTGCCATCTTCTTCTCTTGAGTTTTCCACTACTGTCAAATTTTGTGTGACTCATCATTTCAAGGTGTCTTAATGCTTCTGTTATTACGGTCTTAAATCACCTTCAGTGCACCAGAGAGAATGGAAATGTGCAGTACTGTATTACTGTGTTGGTAGAACGGCTGGCTGCAGCTCTTCCCCTTTGTGTCACATCAACATTCACAGCTAACAGGCTGAAGTCCCCTCTAGACATCCAACTGTTCACATCGGATAAACCTCCTTCATCCGCTTGCATTGCCTTTAGTGCTATCTGGTAACCTCTACACGGGTACACTTACATGTCGTCCATGGCTGATCAAATCCAATCAATCCAGTAAAGCTTTTCAACAGACAACTATGTTTCTCACTGTGCAGTGGCAGAAGCCCAGAGTCATTTAGTTCTTTGAAACACATTCCTAATCTGTAGTCTTTAGGGAGGTTCCAGTTCTTAGTCAAGTGTATTTTCTTTTCATTTTTTTTTTTAAATGAGCTGAGGTGCAGAATCAGCAGAATGTGTGATGCTGCATTTAAATCTGAGGGAGAAGTCATTTTCACTTATACTGCACTAGACCACACTGCAGAGGAATGCAGGGTTTGCAGTCTATTCTCACCTGTTATTCATAGCATTTACACAGAGATAGATGCATATACAGATACATACAAAGCTGTAAAAGGCAACCATCTTAAACACTGTGGTCTTATTCACACTACTTACATAAAACTCCCGTTTTATACAGTAAGCAATGTATGTGTGATTAATCTGGAGGGTTGTGGAACAAAGGAACACATTACTTTATAATTATAAGGTTTAATTTATTTATTTATTTAAAACAAGGGATTTTATATGTCTATTTTTATCAAATGAGTTTTTTGGATGTTAATGCTGACTAAATTTAATTAGACACTAATCATTTTGAGGTTTTGACCCTGAGGATATTTAAATACTGCCAAAAGTATCATAATAATAAACAGTTCTGTTCAGTATGAAAATAGAGCATGCATATTCAGTGATTAAGTTCATATGAATTTGTAGATATGAATATTGATATTAGGTAAAAGTCAATATTAAGAATTTGATTCAGCTTCAGCTTGATCTACTCAGGCACTTTTTTGTGTGAACTGTAAGAAAACAGTTATTTAAAGACCTCAATGTAAGCAATATTAAAACCACATTTCTCCCAGAGAGGGTTTGCATTAGTTCAAAGGGGGAAGGAAAAACAATTACAGAAAAAAGCAGCATTTACAGTATGCAGTTCAAATTGAGGTAACCACTGACAGAAGGCATCAATCTCATCTCTATGGTTCCACTTGAGTCTTTGATTACTATTAAAAGCCCTGACAGGCTCTTTCTTTGTCTACTGTTCGATCTGAGTAACCTTTATAAAAGTCTTGCCATTATGTTGTAATTGAAAGGATGCATACAGACATGTGTGATACATGTAGTGATGAACCAATGGAAAATTAGATCCACCTAAATGGTAAATCAAGTTTGCAGAATTACTGCATATAGCAAAGATGAATACAGTGAGTTGCATTTAAACTAATCTGACAAAGATTTTATTTTTTCTGGTATGGTTTTGGTAACAGGAGTAGGAGACAAAAATTAAAGACCACAATGTAATGGTCTTTCAGGTTCTGTGGGAACACAGGTACTTAAGTAGTTCCTTTTAGTTGCTTTCAGTTAATGTGACCCACACTGTAGCTCAATATGATATATGATAAAAGGAGTGACATGTCACAATAAGTGTATTTTAACATTTAGAGGTGTCCTGATAGGAATATTAAGTTCAACTCTCCAATTAATACTGTGCAGATTTGTTTTAGGAAGTTTCATACATACTGTGCACTTACACTGTTTACAACTTCAAGACCTGGTAAATTTTGAGAAGCTGTCACAATGCCTACTGATGTGAAAAAACCTCACTCAGTGATGTAATTAATTTAATGTTTAAAGCAAAGAAATCAAAACGAAAAAATTAAAGGTCCAGTGTGTAGCATTTAGTGGTATCTAGCTGTGTAGTTGCAGATTACAGCACCCTCACTTCACTCTACCCTGGTGGTTCAACACAGCGGACTCCATAAAAGGCTACCTGCTGTGTTTGTAGATATAAACGGCTCATTCTATAGTGACAAAAACAAAACAATTCTTATAGTCAGGTGATTAATGAAAACATATTTATGAGTATTATATTAATTTTCTCTCAATAGATCCTCCTAAATGTTACAGACTGTACCAGTCTATAATTTTTAGCCTTTAATGGACAGACAGTAGAGACGTACTGGAAACATGAGAAGGGGGTGACACACAACAAAGGTCCCCCATCAGAACCATACCAGCGACGTTGTAGTTATATATTCATCCCAACACACCGAGTCTAACAGAAAACCTCTAAAATTAGTATTTAGGGTCCTGTCTTTAAGTACATGACACGAGAACACCTTCGGGTTCCTATTAAGCACACTGTGTACATGTTTTTAAAGCAGATTTACAGCAATAGCTGTCAGAGGGCACAGAGACCACTACAAAAAATCCAAGGTTGAATTTGCATATGATGCCGACTCCCTATCTCTCCTGACCGGCTGCTTAATGAGGTGCTATGGGATCATTGTCCGTGACTTTGTTATGCGCGTGATACATACCAAGAGACTTAATTGTCGTAGCTAATTACATTTTTTGACATGAAATGTCATTTTTGCATTTTTGTCTGTTTCTGCATATTTCTAGTGGAAATATCAGGGTAGCAGTTATGTATAGCTTCAGCTGGAACATTGTCAGCAGCTCTTTTCACAGCTGCCTCTGTGGTGTGTCCGAATTTGTGTCAGGGCTCAGGGCTATTTGCTTTGATCAATTCAGAATGTAACTGGGGAAAGCAATTTAGTTGTTAATGAAAGAGCATTGCTCCACAATTCTTTTTTTTAATTAGTTCTTATTGCGTACATGAACAACTAAATTTTGTTCCTGAGAAGAATATAATGAAAGTTTTACTTTGTAGCTTATTGTACTTTAGTTCTTGGGTGCAAAGCGAGTGTGACTATTGACCACCAACAGACTGTCACACACTAATCAATTAAAGGGGGGCATGTCAGAGGGCATGTTTGTGCTACTAAAACACAAATCCAGAGTCAGAACAATTTGTAACTTCACTTTAAATGGGTTTTAAGATATTCTACATGCAGATGAACCAACATTTTGTTCCTCTAAAGATGACTAACTGTCATGTAGAGCCTTAAGTAAACTTACTGCACTGCAGTTGTCTGTGAATATCAACTTCCACTCTCATAAGAATAAAGCAGACTTGCTCCTGACAAAGATCCTAATTATACTGACAAGCTAAGATGCATAAATGTTAGCATTTCAGCTACATATGGAGAAAGTAATGTGGTGCCCCTTCCCTCTATTATTGCAGGGTTTCTATAAGTCTGGCCCTTTCCTGTTCTAATACTGTATATGCTGTATTTCCATCTACCTATTCAGTCATTTATGTATGAGGATGTGTTGTTGTTCACTTTGACAATCAGTGGGCATCACTTACACCACAACAGAGTCATACTTGAATTCCCCAACATTAGTGTTTTATAACCTATGAGACCTGGGGGAGGGGGCTCAGCAGAGTATTGGCAGTTTTTGTCAATACAGCTCCATTAAATGAATGTCAGGAGCAAAGCTTTCATGAACTGGTTGTTGCTCTTGGTTTCGATGACCAGGAGAACAATATGTATATACTATATATATATTATATGTAGTATTTTAATAAAACCCTTCGAGAGAAAGGGAAAGAGAAAGACAGCAGGTAAAGTAAAAGCACATTGTTAACCTTGTCCACTTTAATGGATATAACAGCACCAAATAATAACACTACATGCAATATGCCCAATGTCATAGTTACTATATAAAACGAGAAGTAGAAAGTTGATATAAAGTTGTTCTATATGTTACATTCTGCAATTCGGCTGAGGCATAAGGACTCAACCAAGAATCTTGGTTTGTGTGCAGCTGCCGATGTTTGTTGAATTTCATTCCCCATCTCTCTGTGCCCTACTTTCATCTCTCCACTGTCAAATCTCCAAATAAATGCAAAAGAAAATGGCCCCCAAAATACTTTCAGTGCAGAATCATCCAACATAGATAAAAATTGTAACCACCACAATAATTGCAAAACTCTAGAACCAAGTGAAACAAACTTGAATCTGTAAAGTTTAATCTAAGTCAGGTTAAGATTTCTTTCTGGTGCCATGGATGGAATAAAACAGACTAAACTGTCCCTTTAATTAAGGTGTCAAACTGTTCTACCTTAAAGGCAGGTTAAACAGTGGCTGCTGTACCATCCCTAATGTGAATGTCTTAAAGCACTGTTTTGTTTTACTTATTAATCCTTTGAAGTTTGCTTGAGTATTATCATCCAGCCATTGTCTTTTATGATGTGATTGTTCTTCTGGTGTCTAGGAGAACATCTAACTTGTCAGCTTGTTATGAATGTTATTGTCTGTTTTTTATTATTCAGTTTTCCAATATTTATTAAAAAATGAAATGTCTGTCTCAGTTTTAACAAATGGTTGATGGACTATGAAAGTACCAAAGACAACAATGGAAATAAGTTCTATATCTGCAAGTCTTATTATGTTGTATTTTATGAGTTACTAGAATGTTTTGAAATCTTGTCAAATAAGCCAAAACAAGAAAGAAAGAATAGCTGTGAAACTGATGAAACTCAACATTTCTGAAATATAGTGGAGTAGAAGTAGCATAATGTAGTATGAATAGAAAATACTCAAGTAAAAGTACCTCAAAGCGGTACTTTAGAGTACTTTATGGGGATACTGGTGGCTCCATGGTTATGGATGATTCAATGTTTTTCTACATGAATTGTCTGTTTATCCAAACCCCCGATATATCTTTTTCCTCTCTGACATACACCAATCAGCCCCATATACAACAAATAGCGATGCACTGTGTTTTCTGACACCTTTCTATCAGACCCAGCATCCGCTTTTTCAGCAATTTGAGCTACA